AAAAATTTAAATAAATAAATACGTTTTAATTCGCAGTGATTTTTTTATTTAATTATTAAGTTCCTATCGCAGCTATTCGACCATTTCATCGATATTAGTTAATTAAGCGATTCATGAATTATTTAAAATTATTTTGATATATGATCCGAAAGGTATGGTGCCCGGAACAAATCATAGAGAAAGCATATTGAGTGAGTTTGAGTGATTAACTGGTGTCGATTGTGATGCAGGTAAATGAAAGCTTTCGCTTGCATACATTTATAATATGCTAAGCGAATGCACTCGTAAAAATGTAAAAACATGTCGTTCAGCTTGAGATTGTGTTGGCTGTGTGCGTGTCCATGATTCGCCCCTTACGTCTATTTAGATTTTTTTCACATTTTGTTTATTCTTTCTAACACTTTTTAATGGGTTTTTTGAATTTATTTATTTATTATAATATTAAAAACTCTTCATCATAACTCTAATTAATTTTTTTTTTGTTTTTCATTTTTTAATTTTTTTTCTTTTTCGACAGTTTTTTTTTTTTTTTTCTTTTCTTTTCATTCTTCTGATTTTGTTGTTGTTTTTGTTGTTATTATTGTTAATACTAATCAATAATTTTTTTGGTTTTTTTTAAATTTACTTCTAATTTTGTTTGTTTTTCTTTGAATTTCTTTTATATGCATTAACTAAAAAAATTATTTCTACATTGTTGTATAAAATCACATTTTGTTTTTTTTTTTTTTTTTTTTTTTTTTCTTTCTTTCTTTCTTTTCTTAAATTTTCATTTTTAATATCTAATATAACTATGCAGAGTAGCACTCTCTCTCTCAGAAACATTAAAAGTATGCATGTGTGAGAGTACTCCGTTAATTAACGGAGATGGCTGCAAATTCGTGTTGTCGTCATCAAAACGTTTACATAGTAACATCGAAAGGGTCAGAGTAAGATAGTAGTAGAGATGGTGGTAAATATGCGAGAGTGTGATAATAAAATGATTTATTTTACAGTGCTTTTTGATTTGCATGATTGTATGAGAGATGAGTTTAATGCTATATGTGGGAGTGCTGATGGTATGTGTTGAATGTGTTGGATGCGATGGCATTGGTAGTGTTGGTGATGCAATTATTATACTATCAGTGCTTATATTCGGGATAACGACCGTTCTCTAGTATTTGACCGGATTGGCTGTTGTTGCTGCTGCTGGTGGTGTCGCCTGCCACCGTCTGATGTTGGTGCTGGTGTTGATGTTGATGCAGTTGATGCAATTGCAATTGTTGCTGGCCGGTGTCGGCCTGTATGGTGTAGCGTCGATTGAGTGGTTGGATAACACTTCCACTGCTTTCCGTCTCGGTTGAGGGTGGCGATGGGTAATAGTCCCTCTGATTTACACTTATACCATTGGGCATGTTCCCCAAAGCTATGGGATGCTGTTGGTTTGTGTTGGTGGATATTAGGACCCCAGCTGAGGACGTTGCCACTGCTGAGGATTGATGATCGCCGTGGTGCTGATGCGGATGCTGATGATGTATAACAGTACCCGTTGAAGCCGCTGACGTGATTCCGCCGCCGTTGGATTGTTGGGAATCCGACGTTGTACCGGCTTGCTGATCCAATACCACGACGGATACCACATCCTCACTCGCCCATCGGGCTAATTGTTGAGCTTGAATAAAGTCATCACTAGAAAATAATAATCATAACAGGAACAACGGTACACGGAATAACACAAACGCATAGAAGAAGAACAACAACAAGTCTTTTGTACAAACATAAAACCAATTGATAACGAAAACAAATCATATATTAACAAAATCAAATACCGATAACTGAAGAGAGTTTATTTAAAAATTGCAGAACAAAGTATTTTTATAATAATTAAAAATTGAACAATAATATTAAAGATTTTTTTTTTTCTCTTTTTTTTAATTTTTTTTGTCGGTTAAAAGGGAGAAAGGAGAAGAGTCACATTACAACACACTCAAGTTACTTCGTTTCGAGGTTCGAGTTACGAGTTACGAGTTACGATTTATTGAATGAAGGTGATGGAGCGTTGGGGTGTTGTAGCTTGCAGGCATAAAGCAAATGATTTGTGTGATCAGGCACATAGATTGAAATGCTGGGATGAATGAATGAAGTATGTGAGGGTGTTGAAGGTGACAATGACGATGGTGATGATGATGATGGAACATAAAAATTTACACTACATAGACAACACGGAAATATGTACAATTTTAAAGAGCAAAATATTCTGAAGATGATACATACCTTTCGCTGTCGGGTGGTTCGCGGGGATCAAGTCGTGCCTCTACAACCGAACGATCGGCACTTTCGTAGATCCCGTCGTCGTCTTGATGCAGATGAGTGTGCGATGAATGATGCGATGAGTGCGGACCGTGCGTGGCATGGCCGTGGGCGTGTGAATGATGTGCATGATGACCGAAAGCATGAGGTGAATGGGAAGGTAGTCTATTTGTTGTTGTTGAATGCCTGTACCTTCCGTACGCAAAACGTGGATCCTCCTCGGCACGCGGTCGACATCGACTGCTATAAGACGGATGTATTGTTGCCGTTTTCTGTGATTGCGCTAACTGTTGATTCGATCTATATAATAAATGAAACATAATAATAATAGAGAAATTCATTAATCATAATTAATCAACGGCACGGCATCATTAATTCTGTTCGCGTGGATTGTGGAGCAATTTTCAGTATATTTCCTATTATCATTCTCTTTTCTTTTTTTATCTCATTCATTTTATATTAGGTGCCTATTAGTATAGCCGAATTGAGTGTACTGGAGAAATTTGGTAAATAATTTTTTTCTTATTCAAGTAATATACACATTTATGTGGTTGCATAAAATTTATTAGACTGTGTGGTTGACAGATGCGATTGAAACCTGGAGGCATAGAGGAGATTACCTTCATCACACTAGGTATTCCAGACCGTAACGGTATTCTGCAAAAGATTTGTAAATGATTCAATTGTTGTTTTCCTTTTTCTTTTTTTGTTTTTTGTTTTTTTTTTTTTTTTTTGTTTTGTTTTAGTTTTTGATTAAATGCAAATTTCTAGCTGATGATGTTTCAACTTATTTTTAGGGTTTAAGGATAACTTAGCGAGAGGTTACTGTGAGTAGAGAGAGAGAGAGTGGTGGTAGTAGTAGTAGTAGTAGTAGTAGTAGTAGTAGAGAGTAAGTAGTATTTTTTTTTTTTTTTTTTTTTTTACTGAGTAGTCAAAGCGGGTTGCACACAACTTGTTTTTAACTAGTTTTACGTATGCATGTATGTGCGAGTGTATATGTGAATATATGTACTCAATCGCAAAACAATGTCCAGTAGTAGTACTTTAAGAGGCACTGTTAAGCGAAAGAGAATTTGAAGATGTTTATGTGAGTGCACGGTGTCGTTGTGTACGTGTGCGTGTGCGTGTGCGTGTGCGTGTATTGCTATGCAAATAGACACCTACAGCCCCAACACAATATAAACGATGCAGCAATGCAAGCAATACTCAGTTACTAACCCTTGCGAGGATTCACTACAAGCGGCTGAACTATCTAATCTATAATGTCGATCGGCTTCGGTCTCGGACATGCGTATGTCCTCGGAGCCGCTGGGGCTCATATGCCGCGACGAATGATGTTCGAGTTGCCGTATAAGATCTTCTAAATTACGTATGCGCAACGGCCCAGTTGATGGGCCTTCATCATCATCCGGTGGTGGCTGCTGCTGGGACAATGGCTGATGCAGCTGATGTTGAGACCGATGATGATGCAGTATGGCACCACCATGGCCACCGCCCACATTGGAACTCTCCACCAGCACCGCGTGCGGTTGACCCTGATCGCAAATGTTTTCGCGGGAGCTGGTTTTCGAGCTACCCGAACGCTTATACGGTTCGGTGGTGTAGCCCAATTGTGAAGTGGCGCATTCCTGTAATGTTTTACGTAACATTTCTTCGCTTAAGCTGCCGCTGCCTACTGGTGTATTGCCAGTACCGGTACCACGATGAGAGGCAGCGTTTCGCAAAGCTTCTAATATATCTTCATGATAGCCATTCAGCGATTTAAGGGTACGTTCCACTTCAGAAACGGCTGCACCACTGGTGGATGCCAATGTTCCATCCTGTGTAATTAATTCTAGATTGTCCGATTGGCCGTCATCGGGCCATTTATCTTTGAGTTGCTCACCATGTACGAGGCCGTAGCCATGTTTCTTCAAAATGCCCTTTTCTGTGGAGTGGGGGGGGAAGTTTTGTATTGTTGTTGTTTTTTACAAAAATTATACTTAAAAGTCTTTGTTGACGTTCAATACAAAACAAACAATGTAATCAAATATAAACATAAAACAAAGATAAAAGGAGTAAAACTCGAGAACAGAGGTGGTGTGCGATTAGACAGACAAAGAGTTTGAGAGAAAACGATAACGAGAATAGGAGAAATGTGTGCACAAATTATAACACTGTTCAGGTGCAATTGATTTCAATCGGTGAAAATTGACATTGCATGTGTGTGCGTATGTGTATTTACAAGAGTGCAATGAAATCTATCTAACTAGTATCTCGGGTGACCCACAAACCAAACGCATAAAATCATTTTCTCAAACTTTTAATGCATTTACGTGCCGTCATCTAAGATGAGATAAGAAATATATATGTAAATTGTATTGCAATTGCACGGGAACTGCCGCAAGCATATCGGATAAGGAGGAGTTAATTAATATTGATAGAATTTGCTTATCAGCATATTTTATAATAAAAAAAAAAAAAGAAAAGGTATTCATTTAAGCCGTTAGACGAGAAATGCGAAAACCATATGACTTTAAAAAGAAATAACAAAAATATTAATCTTTTCTTCAATGGCTTGTTGCTATACTCCATTATTATCACGCTTGAGAAAGCATCAGTCAGAAATTTTTAGGACAATTTCTTAATATCAAGATGCGATTGCTTTTATCAGCATACAATAGTTCCTTAATCGCGTGATTGGCTTTGCTTATTCGTTAAAACTTTTCATTTCCATCATCTTTTATTTAAAAAATTTTTTTTTTTTTTTTTTTTTTTTTTGCTTAAGACGATTTAATGTTTGTGCCACTCTTCTTCGATGGAAAAAGGATAGTAAAACAATTGTTTTAAAAAGTATGAAATAGAAAATGAAAGGAAAAGAACAATTTTTTCTTATGTTTTTTTTTTTTTTTTTTTTTTGGATATAAAGATGCTGCCATTGCTTCGGATTGCAGAAAAGCTTTTTCTGCACGATTCCCATTTGTTCTCGTTTTTCTGGGCATTGCAAAGTACATAAGTATATTCATTATTGATGTCCATTTTCAAATGCAATTCTAATGGCAAAGAATAAGAAGATAAACAACTAAGCGAACAATAGAAGTGTTGCGACTTCTTCGATTGAAGTTTAATGGTTTAACGATTAAGTATTTATACACGATTCATATATATATATATATATATATATATATATATATGTACATTTTTGAAGAAGATATTAATAAATATTCTTCTTCTTCTTATTCTCTTTTAACATCTGCAGTATAAGTTGACCATCGACGGTATCACTTCGTTTGACTGGACGTTTAATCTGAAACTTATTGATTAAGAAAATCACTGAAAGTATTTTTAACCACATAATTATAACATGTGGTTGGATAAGAAATAAATCGATTGTCTTTGAGAAGGCGGTAAATATATTTTAAAGTCTTTGAGAAGAGAGACGGGATAGATTGGAGCAGAATAGGACAGAAAAAATACAATGGCTTGTAAGAAAAGTAACCAAGCAATTTATGGATGATAAACCAATTATGTCAAATGAAATATTAAATATAAAAAATACTTAACAATTTATTTTGGGGTCACCCATTTCAATTTTTTTTTATTCCTTTTTTTATTATACATTCACCACCAGTGTTTAATGAAATTAATAGCATTTTTACACCCACCACCGAAACATTTTAAAACATTTATGTTAATCATAATTTGGGGTAGTTTTGATCACTTACTTTTGGAAAAGGCAAGCAAAAGCAAGCAAGCAAGTATCTTAGGCCAAGAAGAGATCGATATAAAGCAAATAAAATAAAAAATGCCCATTTCCGTTGGGCAAATCACCAAAATGTTATTAGGTTTTGTTTTTTAATCGAACCATAACGTGAGATTGAAAGTGCATCATGTGCTCAGATTATTACTCATTGATTTCTTACAGACATTAAAAAAGAACAACTAGGTTGAAGGAATATTTTTTATATTTAAGAAAAATTCGTGCAAGTTTGCGACGGTAAAGACAATCACATTAAGGAGACGATCGTTTTTTAGACCAATGTGATCGAGCTAAACAAAAAAGAAGGAGTGTTTGGAAAAATTAGTTAACATTACTAAGAAAAATGCAAAATTTCATATGTTTAAGATAATGAAACGTCCATCGAAGTATATTAAACTAAACAGATTCAAATAGATTTTTCATCGAACAATTACGAATGTGATTGATAAAATTTTTTCTCGGAGGCTATTCGGAGCTTCGAAAGAAACTTGTCGAATGAATATGGTTGCTTAATAAATCAATTAAAAAAGTTTCTTAACATTCATTCTCGTGGACGGAGAGACAGAAAATTTCAATCTGTTCTCAATATACGGCACCAATACATTCACATTTAAGCATTAATCATTTAATCGTTACTTTGAAAAACATGTTCATTGCCCTTTTTATAATATTATTATAATATGCTATAAAGTCTAATATTTAAGTAACTTATACGCCACGTTGCACTCTCAACTCTTTTTTTTTTTCAATATTTACATTCGCCATTGAAAGATGAGTAGAGTTTTATTCCGTTTGTCAAAACGTATACAATATCGAGAAGAAAACTCCAGAGATTCCCTTAACTATATATGCATTTTTGATCAATTACAAATTCTGAACCGATTTTAACATGTCCATTTGTCTGCCTGTCTGTCTGCCTGTGCAATGCCTCCAAACAAAAATTTATGATTTTTTGCTTATTACTTAAATTAAATTATGAAAGATATAAAATTGAAATTTTCATATATATCTACTCTATGGAGGATCGATCCTATTATCCATAGAAAGAAATTGGAAATTGAAACCAAATTCTGGCAAAAATTTTTGCCTTTTTCATGTTGTTTTACGTTCTCTGCTTATTACTCTCATAAGGTAAACAAGACAGTATGTCGAAAAGATTCTTCTTTGCATTTCTTACAAATGTTTTAGTTTTAAAATAAACATGATGGACGCCCCAAAATGGAAGATTCATTATTTCTTGGCAGTGTGTAATTAATTGGGTATTAAATCAAACAGCTTGAAAAGGTGATAAAGGGTATAAAGACAACAGATTCTGCCGGCTTTATTTGTTAGTTCAATCTAAAATTTAATTATAACTTTTACGTTGGTCTGTTCGTTGCTTTTTTGTTATATAAGAATCGGGGAAATTTAAAATTCCTGTATACCGTCGCATTGTAATGTCATGATATTTTTTTCCAAATTTCATATTTGAAATTTATTACGATCTGAAAATCATATCGATTTGTGAATAGTCATCCTACGAAGTTATTAAATGAATGATGGTATAGAGCAAGTTTTAAAAAGCGAAGTGGCGGAGGCTTTACAACTCGTCCTAAGACGAGTTGCGTTGTTGTTTAAATTATTTTTATTATTTTTATTTGTTTTTTTTTTTTTTTTTTTTTTTTTTTTTGGTTTTAAAATTTATAAAATTTCTGTAAATATGATTTTTGAAAAGAAAATAAACTTTAATAAAACCCACTTACATTCTTGTTGTTTTCTGTTTTTGTTCTTATTATCATTATTATCATTATTATTATTATTAGTATTATTATTATTATTATTAGTATTATTATTATTTTTTTTTTTTTTTTTTTTTTTTAGGAAAGCCATTATATAATTATTCATTTGTTTTTCATTCACGCTAACTAAACTAATAAAACATTAATTTAAAAATATATTTTGGTTAGTAAAACTAACTGAATTTATGATACGCAACTAGATATACATATGTTTACGGGGAATATTGCGATAACAATGCTAAAAACGTGTAGGAAACAGTAAATGCATACATACAGAGATAATGGCGTTAGTGAAGATGTGTGCTTGCCTTGTCTAACCTCTTTTTGCTGCCAGGCTTTAGCTGCTTTAGAGGTCAGCGAAAAGGGCTAACAACAACAACTCAAATACTCAAAACACGAGCACTAACACACGAAAAAATACTTTAAATTAAATTTTACTCACAGATAGTACATATACATAGTACATATGCATATATATGTATATATATATAAACTAAAGCCAACATACATACATACATACATACATACATATATTTTATATTAGCACTACGCAAAAAAAAAACAAAAAAAAAAAAAAAAAAAAAAAAATACAAAAAAACTAAACTTTTTAAATTTTATTGTCTTTTAATAGATTAAATATTTTACTTTTTGTTTTGTTTTGTTTATTTTGTTTTTTTGTTTTTTTTTTTTTTTTTAAATTAAAATAAAATAAATTATAAATTGTTTGGGGCTCTTAACATAAATATATAATTTAAATATATATATATATATTGTTACATGTATATATATATACATACACAGATAGATATTTATGTATGTATACTCTGTTTACGTGTACTCGTATATAGGCGGATTAAGAGACAACATTGAACGCCAACAAAGTCAACTAAGTTCAAATTTATTAATAATTATAATATTTAATAATAAATCATAAGACAAGACACGAATATATTTACATTAAACCAAGTAATTAATTATGTGTATATGTTATTTGAAATGTTGAAATCAAAAATTAAGAAAAAACCAAAAACAAATAAAACAAAAAAAAAAAAAAGAAAAGAAAAGAAAAACAAAAAGAAATAAAATAATAAATAAATCAATAAAGTAAATATAATTTCTATTTTTATTAAAGGTAACGAACGAATAATAAAGATTTTATTTAGTGCTTTATTATGACTAACAAGACGACATACCTGAATGCGTTTGATCGTCATCGGTGGCGGTATAACGACGGCCATGTATGCTTTTATCTCGGCTAAAAGACAAAAAAATGTGCATAAAATAAACAAAGAAGTAAATCAGTAAAGCGATTATCGAAAATTGAACATGGCATACATATATATTTATATATATATATATATATATATATATCTTATAAATTCGCTCTAAATAAAAATTATCAGGAATTAGTTGACCATAGAATTTATAACAACAGCATACGAAACGATTTCTTTTACTTCATGTTCATGTTTAATTTCAAGTTTAAAGCAATCGTTCAGTGTATGATGTCAAAGTGAGTGCACAAGAGCGAGAAATGTCGTTATTAAGTTATCAAGCACTCATGCGGCTTACCCATTACCATTGCATGCCCATTCAAATATGAATGGGTGTGTGTAACACAATTTTGCATTGCTTATGAAATTTGAAAATCCTCCTACAAAGTGCATTAATTTTTTTGTCTGTTTCGTTATGTGTGCGCATGGATGTGTTGTAAACGAAAACGCAAGGAGACAGATAATTAGAACTAATTAGAGAGCTCAGTTTAGTTTCACATCTACTTAAAATGATTACAAAATGTTATTGTAACCATCATTACAACGAAAGTTGTAGCAAACTGTGATACGATCGCATAAGCGAAACAAGCGAAGAGGCTTAATTAAGCGTCCAAGACACAAGTTATTTTGATCGGATAACTGAATGACATTGTAATTTTGATATATTGATTCGAAATCGTTATTGATATGAAAATCTCACTCTAACTTTAATATTTTGTAATCGAATCCAAGAAAGCAGGCGAGAAAGAAGAAGACATGAAGTTATTTTATGTCAAGATATAAGTAAAAAAAAACTTGACCTATTTAATGGTCGAATTTCTGATAACTTTGCTATTTTAGAGTGTAGCGTGTAGCGTGTAGCGTGTTGAGTGTAGGATATTGTTTCAATCGTTAAGGTACCTGAAACCTGCTTGATTGGCATAAACTAATTTACTGGAACCATCCAATGAAACCTCTTCTACGGAATGATGATTGGCGGCAGTGGCTGCACCTCCATAACCCTTGGCAATCGGTTTTTTGGTATAGGGTGGATCGTACTTCAAAGTGGTTGTCTTGCGCCTGATGTTCACACATCCGATTTTAATTTTATTTACACAATAAGATTTTCATTTTGTTTTTGTGTTTCATTGTTATTATCATTATTATTATTATTATTATTATTATTATTATTATTATTAATATTAATATCATTAATATTATTATTATTATTATATGGTTGATTGTATATATTATTTAATTATTTTATATATGTATATATATATATATATATAGATTGATTTTATGGTGCGAGTGAATGTTTTGTATGAGGATGAAATATTTTTTTTTTTTTTTTAGTTAAGGTGGTTTTTTTTTATTATTTTAATTGCCGGTTTTTTTTTTATTTTTAAATATTTTTTTCTATGAATATTTTTTTTTTTTTTGGTGTAAAATTTATATAAATGAGTTTTCATTGATTTTGTCGTTGTAGTTATTTGCGTTAAACGAAATTGTTGAGCGCGCAGTGAAGTGATGCATAAATGAAAGTTTTTATTATCGATTTATTTGTGAAAATTGATAGGCTTGTAAATGCGCAAATGTAGGTGGGAGTGTATGTGTACAGAATCTCATTGTTTTAGTAGGTAGTCATTGATTTTTATGTAAGTAACGGGACATTTTCTTTTTTTTTTTTGTGTGTGTATGTGTTAATAACAGAGAATATATATTTATTTAACAAACAGATTTTAGAATTTTTCGATTCAACGAAAAAAAAAAAGTAGAAAATAAATCAAAATTAATAGTAAAGTTAAAAATATTAGTTTTTTTTTTTTTTCAGAAAAATTCAAATTTTTTAGTGAAACGATTTTAAATAAATGTTTTTAGTTTTACTTGAAAGTTATGCGCACTAATGAAAGGTATATTAATTTAGGCATAGAAACAAGGCTAACAAGGCTAAGGAGTGAGTGCCTTGTAATTGTGAACGTTTCACGACACGCCCTTTATTTATAATGGGAATCCTATTGTTTACGTTGCACACGATTTATATAGACATATGACAAATGCTAGATAGCAAGGGGGGCAAAGAGACATCGGTCAGAATTTATTGTTAATTAGGTTATTTCACAATTACGTAGCAGTATACATGTTATTTATGTGCAAATCTATATAGTTTTTCAAAGATTTTTTATCTGAACTATCAAACCCATTGAGTGAGTGAGCTACACAGGAAGAAAAAAACTGGCCTCTTCTTTAAAGCAGCATGTTCTTTAGATATCTTAAGGATTGGGAATGATTTTCAATCTCGATTATATTTTTCGTTATAAACGATTTGATAAGTTCTGTTAAGCTCATAGCTCTGCAGAGAAAATTACGTCAAATGTGCCAAATAGAGTGGGTAAGGCGCCGCGAAGTTTGTCAATAGCATTCGATGACTTCTAGTAAGAAGGCATCAAGAAACGAAACCGTTCACGAGAAATTGAAGCAACGCTACGAATTTATGAAACAACCTAAAATGTCGAACACTTGGATACTTTTCAATGTATCTTAAAACTTTTAATGACTAGTTTGTATTGTTTGTTTGCTTTCTCATCATCCGGCTACATGCCAGGGACTTCAAAGCACATTCATTCTTTTGCTTGGCAAATTAATGCTTTTGCGAAAACGCCCTCAGGTGCTTTTGTTCGCATAAAACTGGCTATGAAAGTCATTTGAATGACGGGGTTTTGAATGGTCTCTTGCAGGTTAACAAAATGGAATCGTGGTTATTAGGACTCGAAGTTTTTCTGCTGTACTTTTTGATTCTTTTCCATTGTACTTCAACCAAAGCGGTCGCAGCATTGCAACGCAGCGTAATACGCGGTTGATTTGAACCCAGTAGTCGTATGAGTTATAAAATACAATTTATTAATATATGTAATGTTCAGGCTTCTAATAAGTTTAAATTTTCGGGTCAAAAGTCAAAAGATCGGGGTAATGTCTAACAATTCAAGTGGACGATAATTAAAAAGAGAGAAACGGAGAGTGAGACCGAAAGAGAGAGAGAGAGAGAGAAAGAGAGAGAGAGAGAGAGAGAAGGTGAGTGTTCGAAATGAAATTGTTTTTCCTGTTTTGTCGACATTCTGAAATTCACATCACAGTGTGAGAAGACCTGTACGAATGAATGTGTTGTGTTTAGAGACTTGCAGTGTAATTTATGTGTACGAAAAGATGTAAATGTGTAATTTTAGAAACGAAACGAAACAAAAAAAAAAAAAAAAAAAAAGAAGGCAAAAAAAAAAAAAAATTAAAATTTTTTTTTTTTTTTTTTTTTTTTTTTTTTCAATTTATATCTAATAAGTGTTTCACATCGATGTATTGATAGTGTCAATGAGAGATAGCAAGGGCAGGAGGATAGATAGCATGAGAATTTTAGAATGGGATACACACTGATGTTTATATATCCTCATACGCATATATACACAAACAAAACACAAATTAATATAAATTTGCATAGTTTTATATGTGTATTATAGTATGAGTGTTGACATTTAGTTAAAACATTTTGATTGTAAACTTATGCGTGTGTGTGACGGTGAAACAACATTTATTTCAAGTATTTTAGTATATGTATGTATATATATATTTATATACAACTCAGTAGAAAGCACCACCATAACTCAAAATCAAGAATAGCGAAACAGTGAATGGGAACAATATGATATTGTTGTTATTGTTTTTTTTTTGTTTTTTTTTTGTTTTTGTTGCTCAAACATTCCACAAAAACAGAACGAGCAAACGAACGAAATATGTTTGTGAAGATGGTGTACATACATGTTGAAAAAACGATTTAAGATTTATTTTCAAATAAATCTTCAAACGTTTTTTGCGACTTTTTATTCAATCAATTTTTTTTTGTCTTATTTTTTAATAATTAATTTTTATACATTTAAAGCTTGAAAGCTGCGTTCAAAGGCATATCACTACACTAAGAAAACTAAAAGCAAACACTAGCATTCGTGAATACGTATATATATATATATATATATATATATACGCATATGGACATACATATATATATACATATATATACATATTGTATATACAATTATAAATACATATAAATACAATATAATGCAAAGTTTATATATAATATATATGTATGTATAAAAGTCACTCCCCGGTCCTGCTAGCTTATCTTAATAAAACTCTCTCTACTATACTTTTGTACATATCATAGAAATTTTTACTTAAGCTTGAACGAGAAGATTCCAAAACTTACCTTACATTGATTTTAAGATTCTTTTTCCACATTGATTGGAATCAAAGAACAACTCATACCACAATATCATTCATCAGATTAAATGGAAATTATACAAAACAATTGTTTTTTTTGCAATTTTTACAATATAATTAAAATAATAATTAACACTTGATATAGCGTAATTTTTCCTCCCAAAATTCAAAGTGTTTCTTCTCTGGGAAAATGTGGCGAAGGTAAGATTACCCGGATCGACAAATCTTGAGGTGGCAAGAATATATTTTCAATGTTTACATAAAAGATAGATACCATTGCTATTGATTTAAAAAAACTTTCGTGACCGATTGCAATTTTATCCTCAGCCAGGACTTAACTGTCGCAGGGGATATTTCACTTTATTATATCCGTGCATAAGCGGGCAAGAAGCGGTTTGAATATAAGAACAATTGATGTGAAATTTCTTTACTGGTCATTTCTCAATCAAACGCTATTTAAAATGGGAAAGTGAGAAAGAGAAAGAGAAAGCGCTAGAGCGAGAGCGAGAGCGAGAGAGAGAGAGAGAGAGAGAGAGAGAGAGAGAGAGAGAGAGAGAGAAAGTTAAGCCCTTCAAGCCCTTATTAAAGCGATTCTAGACAATTCAATGAGTAAAAACCACTTAAAAATGCTTGAAATTGCTAAGCAATTGAATGTTAAAACTTCAAACGAGTTAACATTCGAGATAGCATACCTGTACAGTGGAATTCATTTTAAATCCAATGCATTTCGTCTTTTTTTCTAACAAGAAACAACGTTTCAAAACTAAATTGATTGCCGTATAATCTTTCAACAGAAACCTCCATATAAAATCATGATCAAATACAAAGAAAATTCCTATCGAAAACTGAATTCTATCAGAGGATTATCTTAAAAATTTTAAAAGTTATATTATATTTTCATGACATCGGATAAGAAATGCAAACAATATTAAAGTCTTATATGCTTATAACTTTGTTAACTCGAAGGGTCAAGTCCCTTATTTTTGTAATACGGCGACAGTCGATAAGAAATGAGGAACGGACAGAGATAAGGATGCGGTCGCAGCTTAGTATGTATGTGTTGTTACTGAACGAGCACTCACTATTTTTACGATACGAAACTATACTTTTCTCGCCTTGCAAATAATATCGCGAACGTTTTGTTAAATATTGCTGTTTCGATGCCATTATAGTTAACTAGCATTTATTTCGCAATATGTAAACTGTTCGAACAGGTAGACTTCTCTAATTCAGTTATTAAAAAAAAAATAAAAAATAAAATAACGAAGGAAAAGAAAGTCGGCAAAAGCATAATGCCATCGATTAAACTCGCACGAGATGAACTTATTTTGTTGCTAATTGAATTTCTTATATACAATAAATACGTAATACATTGTTGAGCAGGAAGGATGGATTAAAATTTATAGCATATTTTTTGGCGAAGCTAATAATTTTCATTAAAATTTGATGAAATGCGTAGTAGTAAATTTATATTTTCCCTTTTGCTCGTATTATGCAAAATCTACAACGTAAAGCGAAAGTATCCAGAATTTATTTTAATAAATTAAAAAAAAAAAAAAAAAAAAAAAAAAACAAATTAAAAAGAATAATATATATATCGAGCAGATGATGTAACAGAAATGTTTGAAAAATGTACTTTAGAATTTAACGTAAACGAGACAAAGTCAATTACGTAGAGAAAAAACTGAAAGACTGTTGTGACAGAGTATTTTACAATTTTTCTGTCGAGCGGTAATGGCCAATTGAAAAATCGAGTCATCACAAAAAAACAATTTCTTGAAACGCATTCTAAATGAATCACAGCTATATGA